AGTGACTCGTGAAATGTGACAGTGAAGGCAGTGTGTCGTGTCGTGTCGCTGACTTGCCGCAAGAAATCAATCAAAAATTGTTGGCAAGTAAAGGGGAGAATATAACAAAAGGCGCTCCTCATGCGATGCTCATCAATTCGTGTGTGTGTGTGTGTGTGTGTGTCATTGGAGCATGTCCTTGCCTGCCTCGTGACTGGCGGAGGCGGAGCATGTGGTGTGTGCTCTGCTGAGGGTAATGTCTGCCTTTTGTGTTTGCTTAGTGCACTGCCAACAAACGACAATGCGTTCCACAGTTCACAATCGTTGGGCTCATCGCCGTCCTTGTCCCGCACTGACATCCTGTGTGCCTGTGTGCCACTCCTCAGTGACTGACACACTTTTCATGCCACAATAAGCCATTATAATGAATCTAGTCAGCTGTAAGCCAAAAAGAGAGCACACATAATGGCCCAAAAAGGATGCGGTCCACAAGGAAAAAGCACATTTCCTCCAGAGCGGTTTTTAAGGGGATCACAACAAGACTTTGGAATGCCCCAAAGCTAAGCAGAGATCATGCCATCCAGCAGTAAAGGCAGTCCTGTAATGATATTCTAGATATAAAGAAGCAAATTCTCCTGCTGTTAATTAGGACACACATCGTACACTGGGCTTAAGGAACAGTAAGTTTTGTACTACAAATTAGCAGGAGCCATGCCATTGATTAGAGCAGAGCCCAGAGATGCCTGCACCTGGCAGACCGCAGACATTCCAAATAATTGGCATAGACATTGTCTTCGGAGAGGCATAAGTCATAAAGGACATGTGGTGCCAGACAAATGACAGATGGAGCCAGGACTCGGGACCCGGGACCCAGACAAATGAATAGCAGACCATCGGAGTGGCCAGGACTAAGGCTAACTGGGCTAAGCAACCCTCATTTGTCACTGGAGTTTATGGACTGTTGTTGCTGCTGTTGCCCGGACGACGGCATCTCCTTGTTAGCTTGTTATGTTTTTGGTCAATTTCGTTTGTAATCCCCTTGAGCCTCTCACACACACACACACACACAAACAGCCCATTCCGAAGGCGTCGAAGAGCCAGAGGACGGCTTGGAGGAGATGTGACAAGTCCTGTTTGTTTGCCTACATAATTGGCCGGCTGATGGCCCCCGCCTAATCCCGACATATAGCTGCACGCTGCATTAATTAGCACCGATAAGGAGGAGCCGCCTTAAGGACCCCGGGACTTGCACAAGTTTCTGAGGCAAACACGAAAAATCCTTCAAAGCCATTAGACTTATCAAAAGACAGAGAGGGAACTCCTTACGAGTGTGGCAATTTGGGGGCAGGGATTTCTGCTTTTGGGAGGGTTGCGGTGCGGTGCACGTATCCTCTGTGGGGGAGCAGGAAGCAGAATGCAGGAGGATGCACCCACGTACTCACTGTTAATTCTACTCAGGCTTCCACTGCTGCAGCTCCTTCGATGGATGCTGCCGCCACATCACACGCTGACATTTTATCAAGAGCTGTGGCTGCAGTCGTGACTGCGAGCAGCCCCACTGGTAAATGTGACAGAAATTACTATTAACAGGCAGTCGCAGTCGCAGTCGCATTCGCTCATTTCTCCAACTTTAAGCGAATGAAATATTCATTCGGCATATGTGGCGTATGCGTAATGTAGTCGTCTGCCTTGTGTGTGTGTGTGTGTGTGCCCTAAGACACGTCTCTTGACATATGACAATGTCAAAGATTTGGTATGCCACTCTGTGCCACACCCGCTCCTTGCCGCCCAAATTTCGTGCTTTAAAACTGAGATATACATATATATTATGCATACGCCCTGTGGACTGAAATTAGTTGGAATGCAAATATTTATCTATCACGAAATGATATTCAAATATGTACATTTTCCGTGCAAATGGAAAGTGATACGCCCACGCCAGGTGCTCCTCTCTCTCTCTCTCTCTCGCCATCTCTTTCCTTTATTTCTGGTCTTCTTTTTTTTTGTTGATTTTGCAATGTATTTAGACGCGTGTCTGTGTGGGCATTTCTGATTTTCTATTTATTTCCCCAACTGACAAGCCAATTAAATCTGACATACATAATTAATTGGGGCTTGCGTGAGGCGAAAGGCAAACAACAGACGGACGGACGGACGGACTGTTAGGGGGGGGGAAATGCATTTTTAATTAGTGGATGTATGTACACACTGGAAAAAGTGTTGATTGTGGAGTGGCATCGCCAGACAAGAGATGCACAATATTAATCATTTTAACTGGCCATCTCTCTCTCTCTCTCTCTCTATCTCTCTCCATCTCTCGATAATGAAATAGAAAATTCATCAAAGCACTGATGGAGTGACTAATACTCGTTTCAACATGAATAATATAATATTCTGGCAAAATTCCATCATTTTCGATGGCCATCTTGGGGGCAAATTAAACTTTGATGAATTTCACCTTTGCCTGCGTAAGTTTTCCGGTCTGGGATTTAACAGTAGCCCCGCACACACACATGGAAACAGCACAGGTGCTGACAGAACCCCCTCCCCCCAGTCTGGCGTGTGATAATCCTTGCTCCTGGGCTTCGCTTTGGCTTTCGTATACGGATTTAATCGGATACACAATACACACACACACACGAATACTCGCACGCGAGTGTTCCATCTTTTATTTTGTTGTATTTTTTTGTGCCGCGTAATACCGTGCGGCTATTAAAATCAAATTTATGGCCTATAATTAAATTTGTTCGTGGAAATCGCTGAAATTGCAGGAAATTGAGCAGCCAACCCAAAGGCGAAAACAATCGCCCAACAAGCAGGAACACAAGAGAATGGGAAATATTACTCGTTTTTCGCACAGGAAAAGCCTGACAACACACCACTCGGTGTGTCTGCTTGTCGTGGCGGGAGGAAGGAGGGGTGGAGGGGAAACTGTGTCAGCTGTGGCTCACATAAATTCTGTGAAATGTGTGTCATATTGGATGAATTTATACATTTATTAATACCTGAATGCACGCTCCCTCTCTCTCTGTATCTGTGAGCATATTTTACTGGCAATTAAAAGGCAATACGGCATCGTGGGGGCTGCTCTATGAGTCATGGCATTGGCAGCAGCAGCAGCAGCAGTTGGCCAGGTGCCAGATTGCACTTTTTAGATACATTTCGTAGATGTTTAAGGTGTGTTTTTTTCACGATTTTCAATCATGCTTTGGAACCCACACACACACACACACACACACAGAGAAACAGTGCAGGAGTGGACAGCCCATGGGGCGTATACGCAATGTCTTTTCATTCGAATGCTAAGGAAAATTTATGGCCCATACGTGTCCTGCATTCGCATTACGGCGGCATGGCTGCCGTTGGCCTTTAATGTGCATAATTAAGCATTAATTACACCCCCGGCGACCCCCCGACCACCACATCAAAAAGGTTGACCCCGAAAAGCAGGCAGAAAAATAAATGAAATGAATGAAGGGACGCGACACGCGGGATCTCTGCCTCTTTTACAGCCGGGAAGATCTGTGGCCGGCGGCCATTTAAGCCATTTAAGCAGCCACCACACGGTAATGGCTGACCGCCGCGGCGGTCGCCATATTGGACAGCCATTTGCACAATTTAAGCATTTAATTACGAATTTATTATGCCTATTTTGTGGGCATTCGGTAATTGATTGAACAGAAGCTCTCCAGAGCCTCCATAATTTCATTTTATCGATGTGTGTGCCACGAAAGTGAAAGTGGCCAAAAGGATAATGGATTTACCTTGAAATGCATTTTCAACTGGAAGATTAACTGTACATTTGTGCATGTATATCCTTCTCGTTGGATGATTTCTGAGGACACCCATAATCTGTTTCCCGGAGAAACTTCTGTGCAACGAATTCCATAAATTGATTAGAAAACTCTTGCACCCACATGGAGCACCAAAACTTTGGAAATCCTCTTAGCAGCCAATTGCTGGTGGCCCCAACTTTTTGGGCCCCATCCATTGCAGCTGATTGGAAGCAGCCTGGCTGGTTCCCTGCCCCGGGAGTACATGCCACAGAGAAAATGTCAATTACACAAAGTGCCGGGGCACAGGTACACAGGGTGAGCAGGCCGCGGGGCTGGGGGCTGGGGGCGGGAGCAGTGGGGAAAAAGTATGCCAAAGTATAAATAATATTTCATTTGACATAGTTTGCAGCACAAAATAAACACAAAAACATACTTCCCTGAATGCCATCGGCAAAAGTTGAAAGAGCAAAAATGTGCTTTGTATTTTTCATCATTCATTAGGACCCTCCATCCCCTCCTCATGTCATGCCATCCCCAGCCGCGTTCACGGCTTTCTCGGTGTCACGGACTTTGTCAAAAAAGTCTGCCGCTGTCGCCCACAAGAAATTGTAAATTTAAGGCCAACGCAAAAAGTAAAACAAAGAGGAAGGAAAAAAACTAATAAATAAGCGAAAAGCGAGAGAAAAGCGTAAAGGAAATATCTGAGAAATCAGAAAACAGAATGCAATGGCAAAAGAAACAAGACAAAGGGAAGGGCCAGGGAAAAGCACTGGCAAGGGGTGGATAGGCAGCGAAAGGAGACGAAGAAGCGGCGACAGCCGAAGCAAAGTGGCACAAGTGGCATGTTGCAATGTTAATTGAAGACAAATAAGAGGCGACGCGGCCCCCCAAAAAGAGAGCATGCAAACAAAAAACCGCAGCCGCAACATCAAAGGCAGCGCTGCAACCAAGCCGTGTGGCACTGTGGCAAGGATGGATGGCTGTGAGGGCGGGGCGGGTGACAGTCAGCAAAAACCGAAATGACTTTGAGGCCCAAAGCGAATTGGAGCGCAAGAGCATCAGCATAGAACATAGAGAGCTATATAGAGACATAAAAGGAAGGGAAAGGAGGGCGAGGAAAGCACGAAGGCAGAAGATAATGAAACAGTCTAGTGAAAATTTCACTTAAAGCCCACCCACCCCCCACCGCCACTCCATGAACTCAAATATCCTCGAATATATACAAGTTTTTAGCGTTTCCTTTTGTTTGCTCTTAAAAGTTCATTTAAATTTAATGGCTCGACCCCCAATTTTCGCCCATCCACAGGTCGCACACACAATGCCAACTATGCGCTCTACCACATCGGCCAGCCGGCGACGGGGGCTGTCAAACAATTCGCCGAGACGGGCAGGACGGACCTCCTGGACAGTAATGCCGGCGAGCAGCAGCAACAGCAAATGCAGCTTCAATCGCAGACAGGCAAATCCCCGCCAGGTGGATCCGCAGCCGCAGCCGCAGCAGCCACGGCCACGGCCACAGGCCCCCCAACGGCAGGGGCCGCCAGCGAGCGCAGCGTATTCGACGAGTTCAGCCTCCCGGCGATTCAGTTGGGGGCCGGACGCAGCGAGGCGAAGGTGTTTGTCGACAGCAATCACAGCCTGGTGTCGCTAATGACGCGCATTGTGCCCTCGCCGGACTGGTTCATAGGCGTCGATTCGTTTGAGGTGAGACCACTAAAAAAGAAATCACAATCAGATCAGATGACCCGCAGTTTCGACAGGCAACAGTGTCGATGCCCCTCCATGAGAAGGTCTAATAATTTATGGCACATTCTCTCTCTGTTTTTCCATTCCAGCTCTGTGTGGGCGGCTCCTGGATAGACACGGTGACCGTTGAACTGGATCCTCTTGATGCGGGCACCGACAATGGGTTCACCTTTACGGCACCCAACTGGCCGACAGCGCCACAGGGTGTCATTTACAGGATTACCTCCCGCTATCCGGGCCATCCGGCGGGCAGTTTCTATTATCCGAAGAGCAAGCGACTGCCGCCCATTGCCACGTTCCAGTTCATCAAGGTGAGTGCGCGATGAGAGCCAGTCCCAGGGCCAGTGCCAGTCCCAGTGCCAGTCGAAGTGCCATTTGCGTGGCTGTAAAAAAGGTTAAACAAGTTAATTAACAGCAAATTAGCAGTCAAAATGCCGCTACCCCTAATGACTTTTTCCAAAAAAACCAGACAAGGGAAATCGAAAACAAGAAAGGAAAAAAAAAATCAAAGTGCTAATGAGCCATTAGCATTACAATGGCGTCAAAAACATCCACACACACACACACGCACACCATCCGCCATGGCGGCATATTTAATGGCTGTGCGTGTGTCTGTGTGCGTGTGTGGATTGGCTGTACTCGTGTGCCAAGGGCTGCGTGTTAATGCGCTTTATAAATCAGTTCAGTCCGCAGCTGGGAAACCCGAGAAAACCCGCGCATGAAAACCAAATGAGCAGCAACAGGAAAAAAAAACCAAGAGCCGAAATAATGTTAATTACCTTATAATTACGCCACCATTTGCATGGGAATTGTAGAGGATGTAATTGCGTGGCATTCCAGGAATTCGTGACGGGAAGTGTGTGATTTGTACGCCTCTTATTTCGATATAATCAAATCGAAACAGTTTGAGAGTCACTCCTCACACAGTTATCGTTGAGTATAGCATACGTTGGGGAGCAGATGTCAGTTAGGCGAAAACCCTCTCGGAAAACGTTTCCAATATTCCTCAAAATCGTACGTACTCGTATCAGCCGGCTCCTAGTCCTGGCAGTAAACAAGATTCAAGACCGTCGAAAACTTTTGGAGGCCCTCGAAACCCATGATCGGCAGTGATTATTGTATGTTCAAGACTGGCATTGCCCCGTTTGGGAGGACGGGGCGAAGGCCGATAGAAGTTCTTCCAGACTTCTGGATGAGGGCCACAGGAGTACTCCCTGCCTCTCACTGATCGGCGAACACAGCACCGACCTCTGCGACGCGATCGCCAGAAGAACGGCAAGATTTCCCATTGGACCGTCGGGGGCATCCTTGAGTTTGCCCGCCAATGGCGGCTACGGTCTGCAATATCAGCAACACAGGGACAACATGGACCGCGGCTTTCGTCAACGATAAATGTGTAAATTCTAAATTTTGAATATACAAAAAAATTTCTTCAAATTTAACTGTCTGCAGATTTTGTAAAACCAAATTTGTGTTTGATGTTTGATGCAATGAAGTATCGAGTGTTGATCACTAGGCAAAAGGCAATGACAAGGATCGCACCAAGGTCGAGGGTCGGGTGGAACGACCTCCTTGGAGGTCCTTGTGGAGCATCAATGTTCTCTGAAGGTAGTTCATCGATTGATGGCCAGCACTGAGAAGTCCAGAAGTAATCTTTTTGTACATCTCCAGATTTTCCCATGCCTTCAGTTTGCCTGGATTCTGCTGGTGGTGTAAGATGCCGCGGTGGCAGGAACCTGTAGTCTTCACAGGGAATATTAAGCATACGCCCCCCGTGAAAGGTAGCCACCACTTTCTCGACTGAGAGGGGGCTGCTGTGGTACATCAGCCATGGCTAATGCTTGGACAAGAATCGGGATTGGTATTCCGGAGTTACTTACTTGAGACAGATTTATCTGTATTTCTGACAGCTTGGGCCACTAGAAACTATCTCTTTTGGGGCAGTTGGGAGCGTGGGGCGGCCATTGTTTTTTCAAGTGCTGCGATAAACATTCTTCTGCACTCCCTAATAAATGCCAATCCATTAGGCCCGCCTGCAAGGACCCTCAGGCACAGGCAACGGTCACATCGGCAGTAAAAGCGGCACACACAGGCATGAGGGTGGCAAGAGGCTGGTGGAGCAGTATTGCGAGGAATTCGACCATTGTAATTATATTGCTGGACATCCAAGACATTCAGAAAGTGGCGCACTTACAGCTACATACGATACAAAGCCCTGGTCCTGGTCGTGGTCGTGGTCCTGCTCCGGTCCTGGGTCGCTCATCAAAATGGCTTTTATGAGTGTGTGTGTGTGTGTGTGTGAAAGGCCGTAAAATGTGCGCCGCCTCCAGCTCCTGCCAGCCTGCCATCCTACCAGATGTTTCGACTACGTTTGCATAGTTTATTTCGGTTGGGGGGCGGTTGGTGGCGGGTGGGGGACAGTTATATAGAGCGGGGAATTGCTACGGGAACGTCAATGTGGGCGTGGCTGCAAAGAGCCTCCACTGTACGTGCGGTCATTATTCTTTATTTGTTGCTTTTGTTGCGTGGAATGGGGGAGTGGGGGGGGGGGGGGGTGCGGGTGGTTGGGCATGAAGCTCGTATTATTGTAACGCCCTTTTGACACTACTAATTTTAGTTTTATTTTGCTAGGCTTTTCCAGAGTGGGCGTGTGAAAGCTTCTATTTCCATTCGAGAGGGGTGGGTGGAAGGTGGGCTGTCTTTCAGCTTAATGTTGCTGTTTGTGATGGGGTTTTCCCACTACTTGACTGCTAGATCCATCTAAAAGGATTCACTTGTGCCAACTGGCAGTCCAGCGATCTAAGTGTCTTCCGAGCCACAACTGTTTCGCCAAAAGGACAGTCCTGGTTGGCATATGGCCCAAGGTGCTGAGTGTCAGTAGCCTTCCACCTCCGAGGCAACCGACTTCTGTCTGAACTTTGGTTTACGACCAACGAAATGGAAAGTTATACACATATGCGTCATTTTATGGCCAGGACATGTCCGGGGCTCAGTCCTTGGCTGGGATGTAATTATGTGTTGATTTGGTCTGCCTGCTGCCGGCTGCCTGCTGCCTGCTGGGGCTAGTGGCCGTTCCGGCATTAAATTCTTAAATTTGAATGCCGCAACTAAATTGCTGGAATATTTGTGTGTCATTTAGTGAATGCCGAAAGGCACGTAATCTCGGCAGCCAGGAATGCTGAGGGTTTCGTTTCCATTTCGCTGTCTCTTGGGTAATCCACAAGGAATTTCACAGTTTTTCTACTCTCCCTCTCCAGCTGCCCCTCTCCAGCTCCCCCTCTCCTGCTCCCCCTCCCTCTCTCACTGTCTGTCTGTCTCCTTTTGTGTGAGTATGTGTTGGATTATTGTGTGTGTGTATTTTGCTGGCAGAAAAGCAACACGCGGCTTTTCTGTTATTTTTTCTTTGTATACCCTGTAGTTGTACACAACAGGGGTATAACAGCCAGACGAGGGGGTATATCAGAGAGCCTACCTATAAATCAGATTCATTATTATCTGGGACTGATTGCAAGAGTATTGCTTGGCCCCTATCACACATACAAAATATATACACACAGGGTATCCCGCAGTCCGAATGTCGACTCTCGGCTTCTCACTTGTTTTGTTTCTGCATTCTATGCTCTCCTCGTTGTTTTTGTTGTGGCGGACTGAAGGTAGCAAAAGGTAAACCACGATAAGCACAAAGCAGAAAGGACAGCCGTAACAATGCGTACTCTCCGTACATTCCGTATAGAAAATGACGGCGCGGCGACCCCAAACAAATAAATTAAAATGCGCGACAGCGCGCCAAGGAAAAGTTTCTCTGTGTGTGTCTGTGTCATTCGTACCCTGGACAGGTGTCGGGCATGCTCTGCTCGGGGTGCACTGGTTTGAGTGGTTCTCTAGAGACAGGGGCCCTGTAGGAGGGTGTTCTGCCGCTCGAACACCGCCGTGCTCCGCAGAAATAGCTAAGTTTTTTGGATCCTTAAGGATAACCCTGTTCAGAGAGAATTTTGTAAGATATCTCTCCACTTTCATGAAATATCTATCCCTATTCTTTCGTAGACAGAATTCCGTGGGACTCCCACGATTATCTCTCTGAGGGATACTTGACGGCTTTTCTAAATTCGTTCATTCTTTTGTTTATCTCAAAAGTTAGTATATTTTTACACCAAAAATAAGGCTTAGATCTGATAAAAAAAACAAGCTGAAATGCCCTTTTCCTCATGATTGTGCTATCGCTCTACACACGATACGGTAGGCCTTCTGTTTTTTTTTTGCGTGTTTGGGGGCCAAGTATTTCCCAGTCGAACCTTATCTTGTCTGCTGTCCCCAGCACCCACTTCCGATCCGAGCCGTGGCCCATTTTCCCCTGTGGCCGTGTCAATACTTGCCACAAATTGAAATTAGCAGGGCGTTAAGGGCACCTGTAGTCCGGGAGAGTCACGGGCGCTACGTCCCGGGTGGAGGCCGCATTCCTGATGCCGGGCACATAATCCGCCGTAAATTAATATGCTGCACATGTGGAACACTAACATTTGGCCCCTTTGTCCTCTGTTTGCAGCTGAAGGAATACGAGCTTAGCGAGGTGTTCAACATTGCCGAGGACGATCGCAAATATGAGACGGTCCAGACCCAGACCCACCTCGATGCCGAGCACAGCCACGTGGAGATGAACAACGAGCTCTCGGCCAGCATCGAGCGGGAGCGCCAGACGGAGCAGCAGCAACAGCAGCAGCCACAGCAGCAGCAGCAACAGTTGCAACAGCAGCAACAACCGTTTCAGCCATTCAACGATGAGAGGCAGCGCATCCGGTCGCAGCTGCTGGCCAAAATGAATCCCATGTAAGTAGAACAAATGCCGGATTAAACCAAATAAATGCCCAGCGAACTGGAAATGTCAATGTGGGGTCTATAGATGATTCAGTTGAATGGAGAAAATCTTCTTATGCTCAAATCTGAATCCCACCTCAACAGATATTCTCGTTCACCCTCGAAGCTCCCAGGTATTGACCTTAATCATATCTCTGGCCAAAGCCCCCTGTGTATTGTTAGTAGTGCAGATATTTATAGAACTTGACGTCACCGATTGGCTATCAATTAGAAAAGTGTCATAAATGCAGAGATAGCGCCTGAATCACTTAAAGTTGGGGCCGTGAAAGCGGAGCAGCCTTTTTAAGCGAACAGCATTTTCTTTTAAGACATTTGCAAGTTTTCCTTAACCCACTTTACGGGCGGGTTTTCTGGGGCAAGCATACAATTTAAATGCCACACAGCGTATACGTAATCTCGGCCGGAGTGCAGGGAGTGCAGGGAGTGCAGGAGGGCGGGGGAGGGAGCTACAACTGGCGCTATTTAACATATGCGCAAAGTGCTTTCCCCCAAGCTCAAGAACCCGAGACTACTTTCAACACCCATCCGCCGACACATGGAGACACATTTAAGGCAACGTGCCGCGCCCCAAGCGGCGCAGCGAGGGGATAGAAAACTGCGACGAAGGCAGGAAGGAAAAACAAGCGAGTGGGTGAAAAGAAAACAGAGCTCTTTCTTCTGGCACATTACACCACTTGGGCGGGGCCAGAGTGTGGCCGAGTGGCACGTACCTGGGTAATGCTGCATCTTTAAAAAGCCGCCCCCAGCCCTGCATCCCGAAGTTCAACTCTAGCCAAAGAAAAACTACAACTAATCCCTGCTAACAGTTCCAGGCTCCAGCTCCATCCGCATTCCCCTCTCTTCCCCTCGCTGTCCCTTTTTCGTGCCACTTTTGTTGGGCTGGGAGCTGGCACTGGCTGTTGGAGTGGATTTTGGCACCATTGGCACTGGTAACCTGCATATTTAATGACCATCTCCGGCACCGGCACCCCCCTGGGACGTGTTCGAGTGCCAGCTCCCGAGTGGGCGTTGACTAGCTCGCTTTTCCTTTAGTTTTTGGCACAGAGACAGCGACGGGGACACCAAAAACAAAGACCGGGTCTCCAGATAAGCCTGCCAGAAATGCCTAAAATGCCAGGCATACTCGGTAATCACTATCTTATCGAGTGTTTTCTGTATATGTTCTCGCTGGCGGCCTATAAAGGTTGGGGAATGGCCCGGCAATCGAGCAAAGAGCTAACTGCCAGCAACATGCCTGGGATAGCGCCAGCCACTTTCACGGTAATTGCCGGTGCATCTGTCCATAACCAGAGGAAGCAGCAGCAGCAGCAGCAGCAAAAGAAGAAGCAGCCATCGCCCAGTAAGCCACTGAAATGGCCATCAAATTGAACCAATTCTAAGACACAAGACACACTTTTCCAGCGCCTGAACAGCAGCAGCAACAGCAGCAGTCCGGATCGAAGACAAGCGTCTGCCTCATTAGTTAGATAGAGTGACTATCTTATCTGTTCTAAGGACTTAAGGCCCGAAAATACATTTCCTATGACATAAACAGCCGACTATAAATGGGCCGGGGCCAAGTGTTCCGCGTTTCAGTCGACCAACAGACCACAGCAATAACGAGACACGAATATGACCAGAACGACAACGACCCAAGAGACGAGAGTGGAGGAGACGATCGAGATCTCCTCCTCGAACAGAACGGTCGAAGAGACCATCGACATCACAACGACCGAGGGATCGGTGGTCCCGAAGCAACGACACCACCATCAGCATCATCATCATCATCGCCACCATCGCCAGGAGGAGAATGTCGAGGTGGTGGAGGAGGTGGTTGTCCTGGAGGAGGGACCAAAGCAGCAAAGGCACAAGCACAAGAAGAGTTCGGGGGCAGCACCACCACCGCCCCTGCCACAGTCCTCGCCCCCATTCCTCACGCCCACAGAGGATCTCGCCGAGGATGTGGTGTGGGAGCCACAGCCCTACTGGAGTCCCCCTGGACTGCTAAAGACGCTGGAAACGGAACTGATTGGGGATCAGGTATCGCCCACAACCACAGAGGAATTTGCGGCTGTGGAATGGTCTCCCGTCTCCAACCCCCCCGCAGAGGTCGTACAGGAGTCCCAGGGATATGCGCCACCCACTGGGGCGCCACCACAGCTGCAAGTGCAGACAACGGGTTTCCCACCAGCCGCGCAGTCGCCTCTGCTCTCCCCCATCGAAGAGGTGGTGCAAACGGAACTGATTGTGGAGTCACAGGCGACAGAGCCTGCGGTAAAAAGAGGATTCATCTTCATTCCCCGGGAAAGCCAGCAGCAAACGGAGCTGATTGTGGAGTCAGAGAGCGTGGAGGCTCCCCAAAGGGATTCCATTCCACCGGAGGGCTTTGTGAAAACCCTTGTGGAGACGTTCGAGGTCGGAGCACCCGCGGATCCGCCAATTCAAATGGGATATGCTCCAAGGGCAAGTCTCTGGAATAAAGAGCTGTTTGTGGAGACTGTGGACGTCTCGCCGATTCCCTCGCCGCCGCCAAGTCCCCCCCTAGATCCGTACGGGCTTTCCTCCAGCGAAGATCTCGTGGAAACGGAGATCATTTCAGAGAGTGTGGAAGAACCACCCAGTCCCCCAGCACAGATCTCAGCACCCCCTCAGCTTCTGCCGGGCTTCATTCCCAAAGCGTGGAGGGAGCGTGTGGAGACCATTGTGGAGGGTCTGGAGGTCGTCACACCACCTGCCAGTCCCAACCTCCAAGCGGAGCTAATCTTCGAGTCCCTGGACGTAACACCCACGCCAACGCCACCACCGAGTCCTCCCATTGGAGTGTCACTGCAAGCCGGATTCATGCCACGATCCAGTCTAGTGGAAACCGAGTTGATTGTGGAATCCGTGGAGGTAACGCCCACGCCATCGCCACCGCCCAGTCCCCCAGCCCAACCTGTTCAAATGGATTTCAATAGGCCCCAATCTGCAATTGTGGAAACGGAAACTATTGTGGAGACTGTGGAGAGTGTGGAGACACCCGCTCAACCATCATTACAAATGGGACTCACTCCAAGGCAGAGTCTGGTCCAAGAGGAGCTGATTTTTGAGTCATTTGAATCCTCCCCAGTGCCCACACCGCCACCGAGTCCGCCTGTGGTAGAGCCGGGGTTTATGCCCCGAGCAAGTGTGGTCGAAACAGAGCTGATTGTGGAGAGCCTAGAGGTCACGCCAACGCCCTCTCCGCCGGACAGTCCCATCAGGGAATTTCCGTTTCAGGCTAGATTCATTCCGCGCGCAAGTTTGGCGGAGACGGAGCTGATTGTGGAGTCCCTGGAAGCCACACCCACGCCCACACCACCTGCCACTCCTCCTGCGCAGCTCAGAGTGAAGACGGGGATGGTGCCACCCCCGAATCTCCCGCAAACGGAAGTGATCATTGAGTCTGTGGAGGTGACACCCACACCCACCCCTACACCCACACCCCAGCCACCATTGAACAATGGATTTGTGCTCACGGATCTCGTCCTGGACTCGCAGCAGCCAGCCCTCGAAGTCGTAGAAACAGAGACGGAGATCATCATGGAGTCTGGCCAGGCAGCCAATCGCCAAACGGAACTGATTTTGGTCGAGACCGAAGAGACACTGACTCCCGTGCAGCCTGCATCCCAGGACCTCGTGCTGGTCGGCGTTGTGGCCGAGGAGAGCAGCGACAAGTTGGGCAAGCGGTACTCGGTGAATGCGGTGCTGAAGGAGGAGCAGATCTCACCCCCCACGCCGCCACCCAAGGTCCCACAGAGTGAGCAGAGGGATGCCGTGGACGAGGGCGAGGCTGAAAAGAAGAGGAGATGCTGCCCCTGTCGTTGCGTGATTGCCTGATTGGGGGCGGAGGAGGCGCGCAGCCGGGGCTTCCCCCAAGGCTGTTGTCAAGTACAAGGCCCCGAATCAGTCAGCCAGCCAGCCAGCCAGCCAGCCACCAAAAAATATCAAAACCAAGACCAAGACATATCCAAAGTCTTATAGAAACCACACAGAAGTTCTGCTATCGGCTATCGGATACGATATCTCCGTATCTTATCAGCCGAAACAGTGGCTGAAACATTAAACCAAACAAAAAATCACCGTTAATGCGAGGGCAGGGGCGGGGGAGGAGTAGGGCACTTTGTAATTGATAGTTAATTAGCGGCGGACACTCGAGGCTTCCGGAGATAAGGGCCCCACACTCGAGAAGGCAACTGTCGGCCATCCGACACCTCCGCAGTGGCCAGCGGTCAGTGCGCCAGTCAGCAATCGGCAGTCAATCGAAATGCCTCCACCAGGACGAGGCTATGGCGGCTACGGACCCCCACGACCCGGACCCGGACCCGCCTTTGGCCCGGGTCCACCCCGCGGCGGTGGTGGAGTTAATGTGGGCATCAACATCGGCGGACCGCCGCGTCCGCCACCCATCGGAGTGGGCATTGGATTCTGTCCCCCGCCCGTGGTCATCGGAGCACCGCCGCCACCTGCTGTGATCATCGGAGCGCCACCGCCGCCCGTGTACGTGCCACCGCCCCGACAGACCGTCGTGGTGGGCGCCCAGCCAGCGGTCTATGCCCAACCCACCGGGGAGGTGGTATGCTGCACGATTCTCTGATTACGAAAGGAACAAGTGGAAAGTGGAAAGTGGACAGTGCAAAATGTGCCCGAGCCTCCGAGTGTTCCCCCCTACAATATCTCTTCTTACTATATATATATATAGATCCTATCTTATGTGTTTTTAAATTCGAAAATTAATGTAATAAAAACAAAAAACAATGCTAAAATTCGCACCGGAAATGGGTGAAACATTGCGAATGTTCTGGCCATTAATTGGTACAAAGTCCACCCAATATTCATCCGTCAAATCCAGCCAAATTGAATGGTATTCTTTGTCTTCTTTCGCCCGGAGGGAGTCCCCTTCGTAATCGTTTTAAATCACTCAACAAAAATACCTACAAAAACAATAGACTTTCAATTTGGGAAAGAAATTCACTTTGGCCTGACGAACAATTTCCCCTGTCACATGTCCGAGTGCCCTCTGAGTCAGAAAACTGGGTCCCGGGGGGGACCCGGGGGGGACGCGGGGCTGTTGGGGGCGTCATGGAAATGCAAATTGCTCGTGAAATAACATTTGCTTAAGACGTTTTGATGTGCTCGTCTAACGGTAATTGCCATGCACATGATCGAAGCAAATTGTCGCTAATAACTTGCCACGTTCCCAGGAACCAGGCCCGAAAAGCCCAGGAGAACTCCTGCAGAGAAACTCCTGTATAGCCAAGGGATGGGGGTGGGGTGAAGCAAAATGCTGCATGTTATTTCAATTTGGGAATTTTCTTCATTATTTTCGTCGGGCCCATGGCGTTTTCCCAGGCCCTCCCCTCTCGGCAGGCCTCTCCTCCGTTGGTTTTTCAATATTTTTGCCAATTTACTTGCCATCAGGCCTCGCCGTTTCCCAAATGTTGTGTGTCTGCCTGTGCCTGTGCCTCTGCCTCTGCCTCTGTCGGTGCCTCTGCCTTTTGATTTTTTATTATTATTTGCGCGATTTTGCACGTGGCATACGAGGGGCATACGCGCGGCCTGTGTATGCAAATAAACGAAAAACTGCAGGAAACAAAACACGGAAGTTGCCCAGGAAGCAACGCAGGAAGGAAGGAAGGAAGCCAGGCAGCGCCACAGAGCCAAACGTTGGAGGTTCTGTGGGTTGGGGACTGTGTCTGTCCTGGCTCTGGTTCTCTGGTTCTGTGCCTGCACGATGGCTGGCAAAAGGCAAATTTAAATTGAAATTTTCCACAGTCGATGTGCTGTAGAAATAACAGACGTGAGCACACGGCAAGAGCACCTTGATGTGTGCTTGATGTGTGCTGGCTTATGGATGTCGAAGCTCTGAGGCACATTCTTGAGAAATTGAATATCAGGAAGGCAGGCAGGCAGGCAGGCAGCCAATTATTATCGTTATTCGAATTCCATCAACTACGAATTTTCGGGGAAATAATAGACGTACTTCAAATTGCGTTTAATTAATCTCAAATCCATTCTCTCCTCTCCCCTTCTGCTCCCGTAGCTACAGCGGCGGCAACAATAGCCAGCAGCCACCGCAGTTGGGCAGCGTTGTGCCCAAGAACGATAAGCACGCCATCTTGCAGAGCATCGCCAGCAGCTATCGGCGTGCCACGGATGCCACAAATATCAACACCACCAACCTGACGGCTTCCTCCGCATCTGCATCCGCATCCGCACCACAGTCACGGTCACAGCCACAAGCAGAGCCCCAGGCCCCGTCCGTGGGCAGGGGAAATCTATCCCGTCGTCGCTCCCAGTCGCAGAGGCGTCGCGACTGCCGGGTCAGCCACTGGTCGGAGTGGACGGCCTGCAGCAAGAGCTGTGGCATTGGGGAGATGCATCGCTATCGGAAGGTCATCAAGCACGGCAAGCGGGGCGGCCGTCCGTGTCCGGCGCTGCAGCAGTCCAAGTGGTGCGGCACCGAGCGCAACTGCCACGGCCCCCAGACCTACTTCAACTGGTAAGTGGAGGAGGAGGAGGAGTCCGTTGGGGACCTAGTTAATATTCCATTCAAATAACTCTCCCGATCCCCGCCGCAGGTCCGACTCTGACACATGAACGAGCCCCGGAGTGGAGCAGGCGCAGGCGATATAAATATAATTTTAATTTACGGCGTAAGAATTGCTTTTTCTGTGCGAACAAGAAGAAGGAACAGCAAAGAACAGGAAGGAGGAGCAGGAGGATACCTGCCCCAAAAATGAGATTTTAATTTAAATTTAGATTACGATACGAAATTGATTTTAAAGCAGCACCAGAGCCATGACATCCCAGAGACATCACTGGAGAATCGGGGTGTATGGAGAGAGGGGAAGGGTGGATAAAGGAGAGTGGAAAACTGGAATAAATTGCATATGAAACACAGAGGAGCAAGGGGAAGACTACTGACAATATTTAACACAAAAAAAGGATTTAGACAAAGACAGGAGGCAGATGGGAGGCCGAAGGGAGGCCCAAGGATACATCAGGCCGGCAGCAGTTCGAAATTTTCAACCTATTTCTGATTTCAGCCTCATTTCGATTCGACTTTCAGTTGCTTTAGCTCTAAATAATATATGTAAAAATCAACACAAAAAAATATATGATATAAAACAAAACCAAACAAAAGAAAAAACAGTAGACGTACAAAGCATAGAAAGCAAATCAAATTAAACAACAAGCGTGAACATTTGCATATACCCAAACAAGGAAACCCAAACCAAACCGGAGGAAGCCCCAAAGAAGGAAACCAAACCAAATACAACAGCGCCACACTTCGTCACAATCGTACGGGGAAGCGGCCGTGGACCGGAGTGTACACCGGAGTGCGTACCGGAGTGTCTGGTGGTTCAGCAACTAAGCTAATATTAGACGTAAACTAAGCTAATTGATAACATTAAATGGATTGCAATAAAAGTCAACCACAAAACCGAAATCTGGCAGCGGCTAGATTTGGGTTTGGGAGTCACTGTTTCGAAATACATGGGGGGCCGTCTTGACAGCTATTACGTTTATTCCGTTCTGTGATCATTTTCAAACCCATTGCTCACGAGACATAGGAGCTGTCTCAACAGTCTATAGACTCTTCTGTATCTCCAGTGACCATCTTCACCCGTAAGAGTAGTGTTGAAGTGTTGTGGCTTTTATTCTTTTGACCATCACTCCTCTATAAAAAAGTCCTCGGGAACTATTAAAAATGAGCTGCAAAATACAAGATTTCTAAAACAAATTCCAACTGAAAATTAGTTCTGAGTCTCACCAGATGGCATCCGATTGTGCAGCCTCACCATAGTGGGCAGAAGGAGCTTCAGGCTGCCGGCCAGCATGATGCAGAAGCCGGCCATGGCGAATGCAGCCGAGTAATCTTGGGTAGCCTCCACCAGAATGCCACCCAGAGTGGTGCCAATGAAGACGCCCATGCCCATGGCCAGAGCTGTAATACCGAAGGCATTAGTCAGCTTTGAAAGTCCCAGGTACCGCACATAGATGAGGGCCCGCAGTGTGGCGTATACAGCTAAGGGTCAGGGATCAGAGGTCAGATTTGGTCCCACATAGGCGTCCCACACCCACCTGGCGCCAAGCCATAACAAAAGCCGTACACCAACTGGAACCAGACAACATCGGAGCCACAGAAGGCGCTGAGGAACACGAAGAAGCCCCCAAAGAACATGCCTCCGCCACAGATGTAGGTAGTCCAGGCGCGCAGCTTGTAGGCCACGAAGCCGCAAGTGATGCGCATCGCAAAGTTCGTGATCCCGATCGCTGGCGCAATCAGGTTGCTATACTCTGCGGGAACCTCCGAGCGGGCCTTGGAGTAGACAAAGGGGATGTTGAAGCCCATCGGGTAGAAGAAGGCCGACGCCACCAGCACCCGGAACTCGAACGACTCCAGCAGGTGGTAGTCGAAGAGCTTGTTGAGGGCCTTCACGATCTTGTTCTGCAGCCAGTGGCGCTTGTTGATCGGCGGTCTCCTTTGCATGCGAATGCGACTGATCGATTGACCAGGTCGTTCCTCATAAGGAACCGGCGACTCCAGTCCAGAACTGTTCGGGTACTTCTTCTTTTCGTCGCTGGTGTAGCCCTGGATATGGGCTATGCCGTAGGTGGCCTTCTGGGTCTGTGTGAGGAGAGTGACAAATGGGCATTATGTCCATTGTGGATGCCAGACCCGAAGGGAGGGAAGGGAAGGGGACACACTCACATGCTTGGCCGAACCCAGTAGCTGCATCTCCTTGCCCTCGAGCTGCTCCGTGCTGTGGGGCTTCTCGTAGTCGACGGGACCCGTGTAGAAGAGATCCTCGCGCAGAATCGGATCGGTGCGGATCACTAGGTTGCGATCCTCATCAATGGGGCGCTCCTTTTCGTCCTCCTCCTCCTGCGTCCTCGTGCAGCAGGGCGAGATGCGTCGAAAGAATGGCGTTCGCTTCGGCTCCAGCTCGTACTGCTCCAGGATGGTCTGGGTGTCCATTCTCGAGACGGAATCGCGCATAAAGTTGTGCACATAGAAGTTGCCGTAGTACTCCTCGGAGCTGGAGTCCATCTGGCCCATCGGCTTGTTGAACACGCCCACCTGCGTGGGCGCCACCTCGACGTAGGCGCAGGCAATCACACATATGATAATGATCACGGACACGTGCACCCGGAGCACGTTCCGCCAGCCGATCCACGGGACCAGCCAGCTGTTGAGGAACGAGAAGACCACGATGCCGGCTCCAGCGCCGGAGCAGGAGAAGCCGCTGGCCAGCGCCCGATACCGCTCGAAGTAGTAGCCGATGATGAGCTGCGAGCTGACCCATATCATGCTCAAGGACGGACCACCTGTGGGTTGTGGGGGGGGTGGGAGCTGCGATGTTTATAGTCGGCGCTCGCACTGTATGGGAGGGGGGAAGGGCAACCTACCAATGACGCTATAGAACATGATCAACATAGTCAGGCCCGTGCTGAAGCTTGCCGCCAGTATGGACATGGCTGAGATCACTGCTCCGGCCATGGCCACCGGCCGGAAGCCGTAGCTGTTGATCAGGGCGCTGGAGAAGGCGCCGCCCAGGAAATAGCACCCGATCTGGATGCTGGCCACGAGCACAATGCGCGAATTGTCGGCCCCGAATTCCTTGGCCATGAAGGGCAGCAGGATGCCGATGGAGAACACAATCCCGTCGACGATCAGCTGGGCCAGGAAGCTGAGGACGAGCACGACCCAGCCGTAGCCACCGTCGGGCGGGATCACCATGTAGATCTGGCAGATCGGATTGGTCGGATTACTCTCGGCGGGCCAGCAAGCCGCATTCACTCACTTACAAACACATACCCCGCGTGCAAGGTGCCGGCTGCCAGGCCCAGGCTCTCCTTCCGCTTCCGTTTGGAGAAACTGCTGGTGGAAGAATCGGTCAGGTCCGTGAACTGCCCGACCATCATGTTGTCGATCGACTGTGGGACATCTGACTCCATCTCCTCGAGGCGTCGCGAGGCGAACGATATGCGATTGTCCGGCGGCATGCGTTCCGTGCTACGGACATAGAGCGACTCCTCCGAATCATCCTCCGGCAGTGCCTTGTTGGGTCCTGCAAGAGCACAAAACCCACCCTTAGCACACGAACATGTCCTGCCTCGGCGACTTACTCTTCTTGAAGATCTTCGCCGTCTTGGTGATCAGGATCTCGTGGTCCTCAAGGTCGTACGGCTCCGGCTCACGGCTGGTAGTGGTGCTGGTGGACTCGATGTCGCTCTCTTCCACGAGAGCCTCCTCGGACTTCACGCGATCGTTGGCCTGGGAAGACGGCTTGGGCCTTCGAACAGAAGGAGTGCTGTGAGCACGGCCCTTATCGGTGCCAACCGCCGTGTCCACCAGGCGAGGCGGCGTTGGCCTCTCCGCTTGCACAAGGATGTACACTGGTTCCACGTAGGGTAGCTCGGAGATGGGTTCGACGACAGACGGAGCCGTCGGCACGCGCTGCGAATCGGCGGTGCTCACTCCGGTGTCCACCAGGCGGGGCGCTTCATGGGAATCTGATTTGACAAAGATTTGGGGCACCCGTATCCACCGCTTAGACGGCTTACTCTTGGACTCGATATCCCTCCGCTCCATCGCTTTGGACTGCTGATGGGTTAAGTCCATGGAGGCTCTGGCTTTTGTCGGACTCCGACTCCGACTCCGGTTTCGCTCCCTCCATGGCGGAGGCGCTGTGGGTTGTGCCACGACATTCTGTGGTACCCTGTGGCCTGACTCACCCGCATCTGGGACGTCCTGCCGCTCCCCATTCGCCCCATTGGAAATATTTTGATCCACGTTCCGTTCCTCATCGTTTGACGTCGTCTGCAGGCCCTGTGTTCCGGTCAACGTCCCCCTACTGCCGCTCGCACTTGTCCCCGGCTGCGTCTCGTCCTGTGACGGCGTTGGGCTGTCGGGTTCAGCAGCGAACGGATGGGAAGTTATTTCGACTGGCTTGTGCTCCCGGACGCACACACTCACCTACCTCGTTTACGCTCCCTACTCATTTTTCGAGTCTGGCACAGCGTTTCCCTGACATTTTTCACAAATCTCTCCCTGACTGGCTGCGTATCCGTATCCGAATCCGAGTCCGTACAGAATCCCAGTCCTAATGTCAATGCCTGAGCGCGAACTTTTCGCGGAGCGGGAAGCCGTCTACGTGTCTGGCTGTGATATGAGAAATTCCCCCCCCCTCCCCCCCCCCCCCCCCCCCCCCCCCCCCCCGCCTGCTGTGATGACTGGGGCGGGGGTGCTCTAGTTCCGTGGGATGTCGCCGAGCATTAGCTTCACTCGGTTACCAAATGCTGTCCTGGCTGCTGCCACACGCACGTGACAGGCAGTCTGCCCCCCCTCCCCACCTCCCCCCTCCAGAAGCTCCACTCCACTGGAAGTTGGTTTTACTGTTATATTGCTCGTTCTGTTACTTTTTGTCCCCATCCCGGACCCGGACCGAGTCCAATCTCAATCGCAGTCCTCTGGGACTGGATCGTATTCCCCCTCGCGGTTCCCGTTCCAGTTGCCTGTTTATTTTGGAGCAAAACAAAATTGCATCAGTGCAATTTCATTGATTGCAAGTAAATGAAATCATTCCGTAGTCGTCTCACTGCCAACTTTCAGAAGAGCAGGACACAGCACAGCCCCCGGAGTGCATTTGTGCTTTAAGGGGGGAACTGCAACATTTTGGTTCAAGATAGTTCCAAAGAGAGTTCTCTCTCTCTCTCTCTCTCTCTCTCTCTCTCCTGCCAGTTACTCAAGTCAGTCGCTCAAAAGCCACACTGAAGTCAAGAAGGAGTGGAATACCGTGCCCATTTCCGGAATTTGTTTGCCGAACAATCGATACAGCTATCTTAAGCGAATAGTCTAGGGGATGCCATCACTGAATTTGTATGAGAAAAAAACTTTACGCAAAAGATGTGACAGATAGATCCCTTGCCCCAGTTGAATATTCCCGCAGGACTGTAGAAAATTTGAGATGAAATTGAATGGAAAGGGTAATGGCCATGAAAGGTGCTCCAAGAATGGTGCTTTTAATGAATCGCCTCAATCGCCATTCAGAGCTCCCCTCCATCGCAAAACCGAAGCCTCTCTGAAGTGAATCAAAGCCCCGGCTACTCGAAAACTTCTCAAAAATGCACTAATTAATTAGCGTACGCTTTTTAACAACCAGCGGCCGCTGTGTGCTGCACTCTAGGCCACTCTTGGGGCCCAGTCCCCGCCCCTTTCGCGGCGTCCACTTGAGGGGCAGCTGCCCCTCTGTTTTCACAACAACTCTATGCGGAAATTGTTTTTTCAAAAGGTTCGCTCGTACGTGCTGGCTTTTTTATGGCCATCGCGCTTTGTTTTCTCCCCCCCCTCACCATTTTTTGTTGTTGTTGAGATTGGGATTGGATCTGAAGCGGATGCAGGGCAGAGGCTGTGGTTGGGGTGGAGGTTGGGAGAGCGCCTTGAAATCGAAACGCCAGAAAGATTGCGCTGCCAAATTGTTAACAGCAATTGACCCAATTTTATGGAGGGGCCCTCATGCATGGCCGACCAGTGCACTGGCTGCCCGGACTCCAATAAAAATATCGGCGTAAAAGCGAAAACGGCCCTGAGAGCTTCAGAGGTTTTCGGGATTTCCCCCCAGCTTTTTGTTTTCTTTTTTTTGTTCCGTTCGGAACTGTCGTTTCGCCGCTGCGCTCTGTTTGCATTAAACAGGCAGCCAGGAGGTTGAAAGGGGGAGGGGGCTTGGCCATGTCTATTTTTTCTTTATTACGAATGCTGTTGTTCGGATTGGGGGGGCACCCCCCCCTAAGGGCACAGCAGCGAGGCATTCAACAAAACGAACGGGAACGTGAATCAACAAGGAAAATCCATTTGGGGCCGAGGGGCTCTCAATTGTCAAGGCTATCGCGAGTCCGACCAGCAAAACTATGGCCAAACATTAAGTGTATCCTTGCAGCCGCTTGCTGTGTACAACGCTGTGTTTCAAGGAAAAGGGATTCCATCAGTGTTTGCCACTTGAATCATAGGTATTTCAGTTGGTATATCCAACTCCCAAAGGGAACGGAGACTCCACACTATCAGGCTACCTCTGAAAGATACTTTCAACACCACGAATCCCCACAACACTTGAAATCTGTTACTGTTCCGGCTCCGCTGTCTAAATTTTCGTGCGTAGACCTCGTCATGTTCGCCAACGCGCTGCCCATCCGTGCCAAAATCCTCCGTGAAATGTCCTACATGAGGCGGAGTCTGCTCGACAGCACGCTCAGGCGCCGGATGATGCCCATGGCTGGGTGGAGCAGCAACAGCACCGACGATTGGGAGCCGATTCCGTGCCATTATCGTGTGACCAATAACCCTGTGTGTCGTCCCGTTGCCGTGAGCCGACCCAAGTACTTTCGGCGGCCGGAGAACTGCAGGACGGACGAGGAGCTGGCCGGAGATCCGCGTAGCTCTCTGGGAGTGTTTTCGCGGTGCAACATTCCGTACAGACCCCAGGCCAAGTGCATGAGCTCGTGCGGGCAGCGCATCGACAAGACCATGTACCGGCCGAGTCGTAGCCTGCACCGCGTCTACCAGCAGCACTGGGTGGAGGAGAAACGCTACCGGAAACCGCGACGCAGATGCCGTATCGTTCCGGCGGAAGTATCGATGCGGCTTCCAGGGAAGAAGTGCGACGAACTGCCCAAGAAGATTTGCCACGTCTACGCTCGCATCAAATGCCCGAAGCTGGCTGACTTCATACACCGAAGGTGTCCGAGGGTGAGGATGTGCCACTGTAAGCCCGTGGCCGGCAACACCAGCTGCCTTCGCGGCCCCAAGCACAGCAAACGCCAGCGTCGCCGCACCCAGTATCCCAGTTACTCCGAGTGCTTCTCCGAGACGAATGCAGCGAGGCCCTGTGAGTGTCGCTGCTTGGCGGCCCCACCACTCTGCGATATGTTCAGCTTCGCCAGGGACCAGCGACGACCTCAGAACAACATTTAAGCGACAGACATCACTCAGAAGCGAACCAAGTATGCCTCGCCGAACAGCTCCTAGGCCTCGATTGGGGATGGGGATCCGGCTCCGGCTCCGGCTCCTGCTCAGTCCGATCGTGTCGTTTGGGTCGTGAACACCTAACAAATTATCGTGTTCGTTTGTTCCGTAGTCGGCTTCTTTTGGCTTCCGTTCGAAATTCCTGTTTGTGATGAAACTTCTCCGAGGCCTTGTGGGTCGGCTGGTGGCCAAGCCCCAGTGCACGGTGTCCGTACTGAGTAGGTCGCTTACCACCGAACAGAAGATGAAAGCCCGGCGCATAAAGTACACATGCCCGCCCAGGAGCACGCCGACCGTGTGCGACGAAGATCCTTGTGACGGCCCCCCGCCCCGAGACCTCACCGATTACCGGCCCAGCGACAAGGCCCTGCGGAGGTACCAGCGCACCTGGCGGGAGAGCTATCCCGTGCCGCAGCCTCACTTCCGGAAGAAGAAGATCTATCCGACGCAAGCGAAACGATCCCGCGGCACGATGAACAGGCCCCAGACGGCGTGCAAGCCGGACGTGCCCGAGCACACCGGAGCCCGCATCAAGCCAGAACAGCTGATGGACGTTCAGAGGATCGGCGCCATGCCCTGCTGCAAGTTTTCTTTGATCCACTGTCGACTTGTGAGGAACCCTCCCTCGTGCAACCTCCACTTCCGGCCTTCGTGCTGCACGAAGCGACCCACGAAGTACCCGAGCTTCTCGGAGTGTCGCAAGCCCGAGCTCCAGGAGCCGCTTCCGTTCTGCGAGTGCGTCAAGAAACCCTCGATCTGCGATATGTGGGCCTACTATCGCCGCAGATACAGGGGCTGGTGAAGCTGAACAACTGCCCGGATCGCAAACAGAGGAGGAGTATTTTGGTATACTTTTAAATAAAGCCCTTTTTGTTCCCTTTGCCCCCCTTTGTCTTAAATGGCGATGGTATCGTGCGCGGGGTGCCTGAGTTCTGGTTTGGCTTAGAATTCTTTTCTTTGGAACACACTGGAACGTTTTGGAACAGATTTCTCTCGGCTGGCACTTGTCTTTTCCTCAGATTCACTTGCTTTTAGTTTTTTGCTCTGTTTTCTTTAAATGTTTTATTTAAAACTGCGAAATGCGAATGGGAGGAAGTAAACTGCTGATTCCGCTTGATGGTTAATTCCTGGTCGTCAGCGAAATCCCTGTATCCTGCTCTATCCTGGCACACCCTCTGCAGCTCTTCATTCTTTCTCCCTGCAGCTCTTCAGCTGGAGTGCTCTGCCGTGCAATTCCTAAAAGGGATTTGCATGCCGCTGAGATGTTTATCGTAAATTGTTGCCGTCGTCGTCGTCTCTCCTGTCCTTTCCTTTCCCGGCGGCGGCCCTGTCGTCTGGCGGCGCACAAATGTCAACGGCACAAAGCTCTGACGTTTACATTGAAAGTCACTTTGGGTGCCAGACAGAGATGGAGACAGACGGAGACACACAACAAAGGCAGACGACAGTGCGGAAAAGAGACGGATACAGAGATGCAAAGAGAGACGCAAACAGAGCCAGAGACGGCAGGGAGCGATGGGCTAATGAAACGCGCCAACAAAATGCAATGAATTTTTATTTAAATGCAAATGTTTACCCTCCCCTCTGCTGCACCTCGCCTCAGCTCTACTCCAAGGAAGTGTTTTATTGTTGAGCAGAGCAGAGCAGAGCAGAGCAGAGCAGAGCAGAGGAAATGGAACCGAAAACACCCCACGTATAGAGCCGAGAATTTGCCAAACATTTTCCCCTATTGCTGTTTGGGTAAAAAGTATGCCCTGGAGTGACATTTAGCACAAATGAAATGTATGGCTAAAAAGTTGTCTATTTCTGTGCCGAAACAAATAATTTTATTATAAAAGTTCCTCGTGTTTTTTGTTTTTTATCCCCATGAATGGTGCTTGTTTGTGTCGGCTCGTGGCTTTTGTTGAGTAATAGATAGGGGGGGGGGGGGGGGGGGGGGTGTGTGTTGGGGCATGTGTTGTGTGGAATGTTAAGTGAGATATATGTCACCAGGAATTGTGCTGAAAGGACAGACAAAGAGCTCGCCGAAGGGATGCGAATTGTGTTTACTCTATGGAAATGTGGCCATAGACCATTTAAAAGCTCTCCCTAAAAGAGAAGCCAAAGCATTGGTGTAAAGGAGACAGATATATGAACCACAAGCAGAAAAAGCGTGCAGGGGAGAGCGAGCTTAGAGAAACGTATATCAGAAGAGAGCGAGCTTAGTCCATAACGAAAGCTTGCGGAAAAGATCTCTCATGAGAGCTTACAGAGTTGAAGATTCTTCTCCCAATTGTCGCATAGACTTTGCCTATTCCCTCCTCCCATCAATCCCTCATTCCCTCCTCCCATATCCCACTCGTACTCATACATTTCTTGTATGTAGATTACTTATGATAAGGTTTTACGACTCTGAAGCCCAGTTGCTCGCCGGCTTAAAAGCTTTTTGCGGTACGGTTATGCAGAAGAATTTGGTGGAGCAGCGGCACGAGCTGGAGCTCAGCGGTCGGTCCAGCTAGGGCCTTAGGCGGGGCCAACGACAGCAAACAAACAAATTTAGTTATGGACCAACAAAGTTGCCATGCCTTTTTGCTTTACAGCTTGGCCAATTAGTTGGACGACAAGGACGAGGCGAGGACGAGGACTAGGATGATGCTGCCACTGCTGCTGGCGTCTTAATTGCACGTGCACTTTTAATGCAAGCCCTGTGCAACCGCATGCCCCTTCCGCTGTAAACGTACATATATGTGGCAGTGGCAGCAGCACCCACACATAACCATAAATGTAAAATGCCACGGGTGCACCCCATGCCCTCCCTCCTCCTTTTTCCACTGCTGTTTATACACTTTGTTGGCTCCGTGTCCGGCTCTAAATGCCTGTTTCCCAGCTTGCTAGATTGTTAATATTATTTTATAATTTCTTTTTATTACTCTTATGGCTGCCCATGCCCCATGCTCCACTCCATGGCAATGGCAATGGCAATGGCCGTAGAGTGCCGTAAACATGTACAGATCTTGGGGCCACCATTTGGCTAGTCAAAGTGTGGCCATTAAATGTTAAGCAGGCAATGCCCACAAAACGCTATATGGCCGGTGTGGGGGGTCAAGTGCGCAGGGGGGTGGCTTTTAACATTCAGAAATTGAGCCATTTAACCCCGAGAACTAAGGAAGTACCTGGCAATTAAGTATTGCCGAGTGTTAGGGAATTTTAAAAGGACCAACTAGGATGGGGATCCGCAAAAGCACCTTGCGTGATCTTCTTGGACTTTGGGCCTGGCCTTGACGTTAGTTTGGTAGCTGCTTGATAGAATATCTTTCTATAGTTTACTCTTCTAAAAATAAGACAGTCTTATCGGATAAGTATATTTCTACTTAAAAAATCGCGATGGAAAACCTCTTGAAGCAGCACTAAAGTCTGGCACTGTATATCCTTACAAACTATAAGGATGATGACTGAGTACGGATTCGCACCTAATATTCTGACAGTGTACGTGTCTGTAGGGTCGTCATTCAGCAGAGGAGCAGTAAATACAAGCTGCTGTTCCCCCGCCCCATCCACCCTGCCTGCCTGCTGCCACAGTTGACATTTATTGGAGACGCGATTCTATTGACATAATTCGAATAGGCAACAACGTGCCACGCAATTGAAATGCCTCAAAATGCAAATTGCCTCAGTGGCTTCAGTAGGCAGGGCAGGGCAGAGCAGGGCAGGGCTTTGAAGACAAATCAATTTGATGAAATACCAAAAGTAGAATGAAACACACAAAGGAAGAAGTAGACACAGACACAGGACCTGACAGTGTGTGTGGGGGCGCCCATTTTCGGGCATTGTGCGAATGACAATGGGAAGAGATAAAAACGACAGCCACAAGCCGCGGATGAGCATTGTCTCAGCTCCAAGGGCAGGAGGGAGCACTGGGACAGTGAGTGGCGTTTTGTGGCAAAGAGTTTAAACAGCTGTTGTCGAGCAACGGACTGTGGACGACTCCGAGCTCCGGACTATGGCTTATCGCCAGCATTTTGACGACTGGCGGCAGTCGGTTTAATTATGGCATTTAATTCCGAGTCCATTGTTTGGCCATCTCGGCCGGAGGACAAAAACATGCAACAGTTTTTGTTGCCGCCAGTCCCTGTTACCAGGCGGAAGTACATTTGTCCTCGTCCGGCCGACTGCATATCCCGGAAGTTTTAGCACACACACATGACTGTCCTTGGCAATCCATGGAGAGAGAGATACAGATACAGATACAGATACAGATAGAGAGGGAGCCCTGATAATGAAGCCATTTTTGGAGACTGGACCCCGCTTTAAAATGCCGTTTATGAAACATGTGCCGGCATTTATGCATATTAAATTAGCCAGCTTAGGCGGCAAAATAAACAGGCCAGGGGCCTGCCACCGAACCCTTTTTTATGGCCTGCGAGAACTGTGTCTTATTCGCACACATTCCGCTTAATATTCAGAGGCTCAGCTGGCTCAGACCCTGCGCGCCTGCCACATATGTACATATGTATAAGGAAAGTGGAAAGAGCAACAGAACGGTATTATAGTTGTTTGGGGGCAACTTAAAAACGCATGTTGAAAGTTTTCAAGTGTGAATTGCTCTTCATTTTGGCCAACAGACCGACGCCCGGCCCGAACGCACGAAGGAGGAGGAAGGCCGCTTGCTGCCGCCTTTCGTTGCCTACTTTTGTGCGCCAGCGTACATCTGGATCTGTGTGGGTGTGTGTGTGTGTGTGTGTGTGTCTTTATGGCCGCATGGTATGGGTGTAACAAAAAGAAACATAAAATAAAATGGCAACGGCAGAGATGTTTTATAAAAATTTATATGAGCATAATTTGTAAATGCAAAAAGGAGCAAAAAAAACAACACACATCACATCTGAAAAGGAAAGGAATGGAAAATGAAAAGATGGAAAAAGAGATGTAACCAACGCCTTTTCTAGGGCGTGGTGCCTGTGCACGGCGATGAGGAGGCGGGCAAAGAAAACTGAAAATGGTCTTTAGATGTAGATGTAGGAAAGAACACATATTTCCACAGAGAGAGAGAGAGAGAGGGCAGGTCCATTCGGATGGCCAGAGATGGTGGTGGAATGGGAATTCCCTGGGAATTGGAATGCTGGAAATTTAAGAAATATTTTAGTTAATATCCGACCCCATGTCCATAGTCGTTGCCACAGCCCTGATGTAGATAGAAATGCATGGAAATATGGAATCGATAGCATCTAATGCATAGCATAAGGAAATCTCTTGGACCCGTAAATACCCTTTAAACTCTGATCTGAAGGGATGAAAAGTAATTAAGGAGCAGTCTTCCAGGCAGTCATACTCTTATATTCTGGTTGAGATTGACAGCTCCCTGGCTTGTGGCATTTGGCATGCGGCAGTCAATTAAGATGCAAATTGTTTTTGCATAAAATCAAATTTCGTTTTCCGGCAAACAACCAAAGGAATATCAGCTTGCCACTTGTCGTGTGCCTCTGCTGCTGCTTCTGTTGTTGCACCAACAAACAAGGTGGGGCAGAGAGGGTGGTGGCATCAAGAACAACACCGAACATTGGCAAATGCTTAAATGTCGTTCAAGTTTTCGAGTTAAGTGCACTCCATATGCAATCGACACATGTGTGCAACAAAACTCGTTAACACTTGAAAAGTTTCCATGGGCCTTGGGGCATCTCTGTTCCCGACGAAGACGTGCCCCCGACAAGAGACGTCTTTGTGTGTATGTGTAAGTAATGTAATGCTGCTGAAAAAACACTTAAGCAGAATATCCAGAGTATGTATGTATGTGTGCTCCAGCCCCAGCGAATTCCCACAGTTCAG